TCATTCTTAATCTATTAGTTTTCCCTCTTAACTAGACCATTCTATGTTAAGGTGTATAGGATTGTTATCTAAGCTTTAATTCTATACTGTTCTTTAAGTCTAGAGAAGTGTTTCACTAGTTCCTTTGCATTATTAAGTCTAACACTCTTAAGAAGATGTCTAGACTATCTCTTAACTTAAGTCTTCTAGGTTATAAGCTTATTAAGGCATTCCTTTCTCTCTTTAATGGGGATTATCTAGGACATTCTTATATAGTTATCTTTAATAATTATTACCTAGGTAAAGCCTTCTCTAGAGGTAGGGAATGGTCTACATATATTAATAGATACCCTTGCTAGGGGGTGTTCCTTTCTATTTAATACTTTGCCTTTTAACTTACAGAACTTTATTAGTGTACAAGTCTAACATGTGTGCTTAGCAACTTTAACTAGTGTAGCTATAGTTATAACCTTATATAGGCTTATAATCTTTATAGGTCTAAGGTAGGCAAATCTCTAGTAATATAGTATATAGTTATTAACATCTCTCTTATTAGAAGCATTAGCATTAGATTCACTTTTAACTTCTTCTTCTTAAATAGAAGGTAAGGCCTTAGGTGCAATTGTTATAGGTACTACTACATCTATTTTAAGTAGATCATCTAGTTAGGACTAAGTTGCTATAAAAGCCTATAGATTTAATTCCGTCTAAGCTAGCTTTAGTAAGATGGAATCTAGGATATAGATTCCTCCTCTCTCCTTTATATATAGAACAATGTTACTATCCTTATTAAGGTAGTACATGTTCTATAAATTAAAGCTACCTTTTAAACTAGCTTTACATAATTTTCTCCTAGAAAGTAGATTAACTCTAAGTTTAGGAATAAGCAAAACATCCTTTAATCTAAATCTCCCTCCTCTATAGTCTATTATATCTATAACTCCTCTCTTTGTTAAAAAGAGTTTCCCTCTACTAATAGCGATTGTTATTCGTCTTATAGTTGTAGGAGGTTCACTAAAGAGAGAGGAATTATTAGTTATGTAAGAACTTGCGCTAGAGTCGAATATCTAGTAGTCTACTATTATAGTACTAACATTTTCCTTACTTAAGTTTGCGAATTCTACTTCTAGTTCTTCTTAATCACTTCTAGATAGGCTATCTAAACTAGAGTTAGATGATTCTAATTTAGTCTATGTTATAAGATAAGCCTTAGTAAACTTGCTTCCCTATAACTATTTAATAGATTTCTTTAGGTATTCAATTTCCTTATTTAGTCTTACAACTTTAGTTCCTTAAGAAGATATCTACTTACTTAACTTCTTATTATCTAGATGCTCTCTTCGAAGCTTTCTACTATAAGCCTTAACTATAGAGATGTAGTTATAGGACTTTATCTAGTAATTAGGTGCACTACATAGATGATAGCTCTATCTATCTCTCTATAAAGGACTCCTTACTCTAGTAGGTACATTTCTCTTCTAGAAAGAAGGTTTATTCTAGAAAGAAGACTTATTGTTCTAGTAAGGCTTCTTTATATAGTAGGTAGCCTCTAGATTAATAGTTGCCTATACCTTATTTAGAATAAGTAGGACTTCTTTAGGATCAACTTTTCCTCTAGCATTAATTCCTACTTTATATGTAGTATACTCGATAGGTAGTGCTATAAGTAGTTACTAAATTCTAGACTTAATTAAGTTAAGAGATTTTAACTTAGGTCTTTGTTTAATAACCTTCTTACCTAGGGTATTAATTTGTTACTAGGTAGCATTAATTAAAGTTAATACATTAATCTTAAATGTAGAGAATTCAACTAGGTATTATCTACCTATAGATGCAAGTCTTATCTTATACTTCTTCTAGAGTCTCTCCTAGATAGCTTTAGAAGTCTCTTCCTCTTTAACTAATTTAAGGTCAAATTTATTTAGAGATAATCTAATGTAGTATCTAGCCTTTACATCCTTTTATCTAANAGGTTCTAGGATTATACAAAACCTAGGCTTATAACTAGTTAAAATAAGTCGTGCAACAGGTGCATAAAATACTCTAGCTAGCGTAGGGAAGTAATCCTAGAGCCTATAGAATTAACTGAAGGTAGAGACGCGACCTTTACTAGTAAAAGCGTGCTAATAGTATATAGCGTAGTAATTAATTAATTAAAGAGAAGAAGAGTATCTATAGGCGCAATCTATTAAGAACATCCTACTCTACTAAGGCGTTAGGATGCTAAGCTAACCTTATTATCCCCTTACTTGTTATAGTCTATTATAGACCTATCTATAATAGAACCTTACCGTATTATAATAGAGTTATAACTCCTCTAAGTGTGCTAGGACTACACTATTTTTAACTATATAGGTATAATAGATAGTAAGAGGTAAAGAAAGTAATAGTTTCTAATATGCCCTTATAGTATACCTCCTCCTTACGAAGGTAGGTAGTAGACTTACGCTCGAAACGTATAAGATCTAAGTTAGATATAGTAAAATCTATCTAGTAGGAAGTTAGTATAAGGTACGTAAGCGACTTATTAAGTAAGCCTATTAGAGGAAAGGATAAGTAATGTAGATGCGTATACTACGCGTAGGCTACGCGTATACGGCCCTAATAAAAGTAGTTCTAGAAGTAGAAAGTAGTTTAAAAATAATAAACATATACTTAGCGTAAGTAGCGTATATACTAAAGGGAATAAGCAGTATTAGGAGGGGTTACTTACTAGAGAGTTAGGGCTACTATATAGATAGTATAAAGCTAGAAGGAAAAGAATTACTAGCTTAGTCTAGAATTCTATATACTATACTATAGTATAGACTACTAAGACGATAGCGTTATTATTATAACGCTAGGGTATACTCTAGTAAAACCTAGGGAAGTTAGCCTATACGTAGCGTATATAAGACGCGACAATTTTACAAATCCTATCTATACGTAACGTAAGGCTAGATATAGAAGCGAGTAAAGTAAACGCTACTCTCCTTATATAGGCCCCCTATAAGCTATATATAAGGTAACTATAATTAAGTACGTATTACGTACTATACGCTAGCTATATATAATGTACTTACTATCGGCCTCCTAGTTATAGATAACTATATAGAGGAGGGGATAATTATTACTAGAGAGGCTAGGGTAGCCTCTATAATAAAGCCTAAGCCTTTAAGCAAGGCTTAGTATATATAAGTATATCTTTACTTTTAAAGACACTAATACTTAGGGCATCAATTAGTCTTTACTATTAGTAACAATATTACTAGTAGGACTTTATACGTTACTATATACCTTTATACTCTTATAGCTAGCTAGAGTATTTTATATACTATTATACGACTTATTTTAACTCTATAGGAAGAATTACGTCTAGGTTATTATTAGGCTCTATTTAGTGTTAGTAGACTATTATAGGACTATTATAAGACTTTATACCCTATAGACTTCTAAGTAGAGCTATATTTACGTTCTTATACTCCTCTATAGTTAGGTTAATAGTAGTAGTCTTCTATAGGATCTAGCTGTTATAAACTTCTTCTTAGTATTAGTATAAGACTATTAAGGGACTATTATAAGGCTTACTAGTCGCTAGCTAATCTAGTTCTACGTTAGTTATTACTTAATTAGGTTCTAGCATAAAGTAAGATATCTTAGTAGTTCTAGCGAGAGGATTAGTAGACTTATAGTATAATAGTCTATAATAGTCCTCTAGAGATAAAAGAGTTAGTAATAGTTAAGACCTAGTAGAAGAAGTATATAAAAGAAGTCTATACGTAAACTAGTAAGTAAATAAATTATATAAAGGAAGAAGGTATATAGTCTAGTCCTAGTAAAGCGTAGTCGTACTATACGTATATAGGGAGTAATATAGTAATATAGAAATAGCTAGCTAAGGTTAAAAAATTATTAAAAGTTAATATACTATTAAGTTATAGGAAAGAACTACAAAACGATAACGATAGAGTAAGGTATAATAAAGAAGGATTAGAGTATAATAAGATATTATTATATAGTTTATATATAAGTAAAATATCTTAATAGTTTATAGAGTCCTATATAATTATTATTATTATAATAGTCTATAATAGTCTCTTAGAGCTATATAGCTATATTTAGAGATTTAGATAGCTTTTTCTAGAAGTAGTTATTAGCAAGACGAATAGGAAATTATCTTAGTAGGATCTTATCCTACTAGGATTTATGCTTAGCATTTCTTATCCTATCCTATTAAGTCTTATAAGGAGGTCTAGTAATAAACTAGGGGTATCTAGAGTATAGGAAATAATAGGAACGTATTAATAACTTATGTTTTAATGCCTAGTATAATTAACATTCTTTAAGTAAACCTATAGAAGAGCGTAGGAGTTTAGGATATACTATATAGTAATCTAGAGACTTAGAGATTTAATATTGTACTAGTTTAGGAGCTACATTATTATAACTTTAATAGTTATGTTTAAATTATAGGAGTTAGGGCAAACTTTAAAGTTATTAGACAGAAACATATATAAGGAGGAGACTAGGATAGGAGAATTCGCTTATATATATAGGCAAATAGGGACAACGACTTTATACAAATCCTAGTAGATAGTAACAATATTATAGTAATTATTATAAGAAAAGGATAGCGTAAGATACTAGTGGCATCGGTCTACATTCTAAACGTAGGATAGGGACTCGAATAGGACGAAGTCGAACTACTTAACCGATTGTAGGAGATCTAGACCATCGCTCAAAGACTAGGTATAGGAATGGCTATAGTGATCTAAAATTGTTCTAATTGATGATTAATCTATCGATTTAGTAAACAACTTAGCTATTAACTCAATTAATACAATTCCTCGACACGATGAATCAATTCAATCCAATTTAGGGGCACTGGAATCGAATTGAATCATTTTATGGCTACCCTACGTAATATAGACTTCGTACAACATATCGGTCTTTTCGGCCAAGACAGACTCTGCAACATTTCATTCTTCACACCTTCTGGCCAACGCAAAGACCAGTCTTGGAGATACGAGCCAAGAACAGAGATAACCCACCACACAAAAAGCATGTCCCCGCCCAGACCTGAGCTGGAAGATATCCCTGACCGATCCCAACGAGCGCTCCACCAAGCGGGGGCCCCGTCAAGCACGCAAAGCTGACCACAGTGAACCCCATGCCCATCCTCACCCCTGTCTTTGAGATGTCTGTTGTCAGACTTGATAGAGTTGAAGGCCACAATCCCTGAATACCGTTGGAGAAGATACCGTATAAGATGATGAAAACGTACACCCCTGTCGTACTTTTTACAGCAATCCAGCTGTAGCTTATTGTACTGGTTGCTAGAGTGAGAGGAATGATTGTGTTCAACGGTCCAAAGCTTCGGTTTGCAAGATACGCGGGGACGAGACGGCCGACAATCCCAACTCCGTTGTTGATGATGATGAGATCGACTGAGTCTTCATAAGACAAACCGATAACCTGACGGCCAAACGTACCAATCTATCATCTCGCAGTTAGCAGCTTGTCAGCGCACAGAAGATCGTTACTCACATAGAAGAACCCAAAATACAAGGCCCAAAAGTTCAAGAACATCCCAAGACAAAACAAAGAATACGCCGGCTCCTTGAATGCAGACCACTCTATCAACGCGCCCGAAGTCCTTGGCGGCACTCGTACCCGGAACAAAATCATGGCAGGAACTGTGAGAGCAAGCATAACGAACCCAACAACTCTCACAGTCCACCCGAAACCAAGTACAGGTAGCGATTGACGAACAATGGCTGGAAATATCATACCTCCTGTCCCGCTACCAAGCAGACAGAAGGCAAGAACGAAAACACGATGTTCCGAAAAGTACGTAGCAACAAGGCCCATACTAGGACAAAACATCATTCCACTCCCGACCCCCGTGCAAACCCCCTGGGCCAAGATCAACTGCCAATAACTCGTCGCCAAGCTCGTCATAAACACTCCCAGAAGTTGAAGTACGGCACCAAGAAAAAAGACTAGACGAAAGAATCCAGCATCTAGAGCTCGGCCTGAAAAGACACCAACGAAGAAGATGAGGAACGTTTGGATGGAGCCGATCCAGGATATGGCCGAGGACGAGAGGGACAGGGTGGAACTGTAGTGAGTTTCAAAGACGCCAAAGCTGGATATGTAACCCCAGGTGTTAAAGCAGACGAAATGGCCCATCAAGGCCTGTGTCCAGGCTGTCAAGCCGCCGTCAGGAGGCAATATTGCTGTATCCATGCTGCTCTGGAGTTGAATTCGGGATCAGAGAATCCTGCGTGCTCCTGGCGAACGGAAACGACTGTGAGACGTGACAAAATTCAGGATTGAGATCTTTTGCTGCGGCAAGTATACACATTCCGAAAGAGCGGGCCGTAAGACGGGACAGCCGCGCTAGTCCTTCAAAGGCGACATATCAAAAAGTCTCCGAAGCCGCCGTGTTTAACCTTATCCGGTCCTTAGTACCAAACCTTCAGCCAATGGAAACGGGAATTCAACTTCGCTTCGCGCGATGAGTCGTTCAAAAGGGTGCGAAAACAGATTAAGAAAGTGCGGATCTCGCTTAACGTCGTGAAAATAAGGTCTGTCTGTCAAATAAGCTCGGTCCACCGTGTGCTTCGACCGTGTCACGACATATGTTTCTTTGTAGATACGAGGCTCTTCGTTGATACACCGCGATGACATCATGAACTAACGGAGAGTTATGGGACGCCACAATGCCCGATCAACTTGAGACGGACAGAGTAGCTGATCTGCTCAACTTCAACCGCTCCGACAAATGAGATACAACCGACGTACAGCGCTTAGTCGGTGAGTTATGGAGGCTCTTCTTGGGCATTTGCTGATCTACCTGGATTTGTTCGAGCGAAGTCGTCAAGGATTGTCCCGAGCTCTCGCTACTATCGCGTAATGTGATCCTACTCACTGAACATGCGTTACCGTACTGGAGTTCTATATAGCTACGAGTAAAATGGAGCAGGAAAAAGGAGGCACCAATCACCACTCGCCTCAAATTGTTTCTGTGATACGTATCGCTTTATTGTTGAATGATGAGATTCGCAAATTCTGCCCTGTCTTCAGCCCTGCAAACCCCAGAAGATGTTGTTGTCGTTGGTGGGGGAGCCTCCGGTGTCGCTGTCGTTCTTCATCTACTCGAGAAAATCAAACAGGGGAAGCGGATGAAGAGTATAACCTTGCTGGAAAAGAGCAAGGCTGCTGGTCCAGGGCTAGCGTACTCTGAAGCTTGCGCGGGGACTATCTTGAACATGCATGCAGACACCATGGGTCTCTACATCAACGATCATCTTCACTTCTCAAAATGGAGAGCAGCGAGATATCCCGATCTGCAACCAGAGCCCTTCCCACTGCGGAGTCAGTACGGACAATATCTCCGCTCGCAGCTGGAAATAGCTCGCAAGGAATCTTGCCGACTGGATGTTGTACTGAATGTGATATGTGGAGAGGTCGTCGATGTTCAGCGGAAGAGAGGGGGATTTTTGCTAGAGCTAACCAGTCGCATCAAGATCAACACCCAGGTCTTAGTGCTGGCTCTCGGTAATTTTGCCAAGGTGGTCCACCCGGGACTGCTCGGGGTTGCAGGCTACTTTCCTTCCCCGTGGCCCAATTCTGCATTGAAAATCATACCACCTGAATCACCAGTGTCGGTGCTGGGCACAGGACTTACAGCCATTGACGTCGCCATCTGTCTCTCCGAAAATGGTCACGAAGGTCCTATTCATCTGGTTTCTCGTAGTGGAAGGCTGCCGAAAGTACAGGGGCATTGCGAGCCCTATAGCCGAAGATATGTACTCCATTGCCTTGCTCGAGACGTAGAGCAACGCCCGGAAAGGAGCTTCATTCGGATAATCGAGACAATCTCGCAGGAACTAGATCGTGGAGCCTGTGGAGATTCCTCCCAGACACAGTCTTCGACAGACTCTTTGACAGAGTTTCAAGCCAGTGTCAATGCCGCCGAGAACCATTTAGTTCAGTGGCAGGCAGTTTTCAGAGCAACGGCGCCTGTTGTAGAGCGATATTGGCACACTTTTCCCAACTCAACAAAGGATCTGTTTCTTGGAGAGTTCTTCAGCACATGGATGACATACCGCCACTCTATTCCTTTGGAAAACGCCCGGAAAATCGTTACTTTGATAAGTCGAGGGCAGTTGCGGGTGCACTGTGGTGAGAAAGCCTTCTTGTCTGGGGACGAGTTTTTGGTATCTACGACCAGTGGACTTGTCCAGTCTCCTTGGCTGATTGAAGCAGCGGGGCAGGAGCATGATCCCTACAAGAGTGGATCGGAGCTCCTCAAGCGACTCTTGGACGCTGGCGAGCTGACAGTACATCCAGCTGGAGGTGTAGTCGTGGACTTCAACACCTTGGCAGCATCCGAGAATCTTTACGTCATTGGATCCATGACTAGGGGGACACATTTCTACACTGGAGCAATCGACAGGAATGTAGCTCACGCTGCGCGCATTGCCGATAGCATAAGCGGGGAACGCCCAAGTCGACCGCTACATGTCGGTCTGTTTGTTGGGACAGACATTTTTTCGCACCTCATGACGAGTAAAATTGTCTCCCGGCTCTTAGCTCTGGGTCATACACCATTCATCTTCTTACCGGCCCACAAAGGCAGCAAAAAGCAGAAACATTTTGATCTCGAAGAGCTCGCGTTTTTTGAACGTCAGTTGTATCAGGATATTGTGATTCCTTTTTTAGGTACATCCGACCCCAGCGGGTCAATGTGCATGACCGTGGAACAAATGAGGGTCCACTATGGAATTCTCGTACAGCATATTCTGGACGTCAACGACCCTGCTTTCCTCGATGTTCTTCAACGGAACTTTATCGACATTGGCATGTCAATTCGTTGTTATCAGAAGTTTGGTAAGGGCATCATCAACCACTTCAGCGGCTCAAGGAAGCTTTTGAACCTTCATCCGGGAGTTCTTCCCAATTACCGCGGAGTTATGACGACGATAAGGGCGATGAGAAATGGTGACGAGAGCTTTGGCTACAGCCTGCACGAGATTAACGAAGACTGGGACGCTGGTCACATCCTCGATATCCGAACCTGCCCACTTACCAGGAAGCCAATGCTGCAGTACATGAATGATGTTTACGACGTCGGGGTTGAGATGGCCGTTGACTCAGTTGACAAGATCTCAAGAGGGGAAGTACTGGCCGCAACTGAGCAAAGCGAGGCAGATTCTCGTTATTATCCCTTCCCGACCACCGATGAGCTAGCTGACTACCGCCAGCACGGTCTCTCCTTAGTCAACCCTGAGGAGATGGTCGATTCGATCCTCGATTCGTTGAGTACGCCGCGCAACAGGACAGAATTCAAAGAGACTCTACAAAAATCAATCTCCCATTGGTATAGGACAAAAAGAATAAGCAAGAGGAAGGAGTGAGAAGTCTTAGCCACGAGCGTGTGTGCTGCCTATGATATTTAGTTTCTGCTCCCCATGTATCTAACTAACAATCTGATATGAATGATTGCATGTCCGCATCACAACTCAAAGTCAATCCTCACCACTACCGCGAAGGCAGATGAAGATGAAGAGAGCATTCTTTGGGCCCGAAAGCTCGCCAAAACCGATGCAAGTAGAAAAGTAAAAGAACACTCAGTCAATATCAGCACTTCTCGGCACATGCCACAGCTATGGGTAGAGAAGCTTGGGTTGTAATTTGACATCGGTGTTTCGGACACGAAAAGAAAAGGATAGGAGATAAAGAATTGTGACGAATTGCGAATTTGCCTCTTGAAATTATTCGCGAGCGATGCTTTAGGGTAATTCCATGTATAACACACAGGGGGCGATGATTCAAACCATCGAAGAAGGGGCAAGTGTGATGTGTGGAAGAAAGGCAAACCTAGCGAGAAACTGTTTACAAAGATGGCCGTCAGGATCATTCTGATCGACATCAGGGTGTCGTGTACGCAAATGGTGTCGGGTGCAGCATTCAGGGTGTCACAGCCTGTCGATAGTGACCATGAAGAAAGCATCGAGAGAACGACTCGCCGATCGAAACGAGGTTGCACCCTCACCCGCAGTGACAGCGTCCCGTCCTACAGCATCATCACGCAACAGTGTATAACAATCCACGAGTCACTTGCGGCATCATCGCCCAGGATCAAGTGCTCTCAGACTGGTATTATATTGTACATTTTTCAGGCGCCTTCGCCAAACCATATCTGAAAGGGTATGTAAAATCCCCAGTGACTCTTGCAGTGCTGAGAAAACAATTCTTGCTTTTTTTGAATTCCGCCGCACAGCCTCCTCTTCTTCGACATGCCTACAAGCCACAGTGTAATGCCACCATTGCAGCGAATGATGCGTTTACCCGTTGGACTTGGCAACACGCTCGAGCTCGTCCTTCTTCTTAGTGGCGTAAGAGTTGGAGGAACCCTTGCCGGCGTTAATGAGCTCTTTAGCGAGGCGCTCGGCAACGGACTTGATGTTGCGAAAAGTGGCCTTACGGGCACCAATAGTTAGGAGGGTAATGGCCTAGTTGACGCGGCGGAGGGGAGATATCGACTGACGGTACCGGCGGAACCGATATCGGTAGAGTCTTCGCGAGGACCGCAGTTGACAATGGCGTCGACAGCGACCTAGATAGGGTTCTGGTCGGCCATGATGTGGACCTAGTCGGGTGTATCAGTTTGCTGTATGAGCGCATGTAGACCAAAAGGTTAAGACGCACAATCTCGGAGGCGTAGGCGACGATGCGGACGGCGATGAGCTTCTTGCCGTTGTTGCGGCCGTTCATCATGAGGGAGTTAGTAAGACGCTCAATGATAGGGCACTAGGCCTTGCAGAAACGCTTGATGGCGTAACGATCTTCATGCCGTTTCTTATAATGTCAGTATACCCTCCTAAGGTAAAGGAGAGGTCCCAGTATCTGTTCCCATGAGCCGTTTTCATGTTTCGTCTTTAGTCTTTCCACATTGGGCACATAAACAAGAAATGCGGCACCGATTCGAGTGCTCCGCACTCACACTTATCAGTTTCGGTGACCTTGATCTTAGACAGATATGAATTGAGCCTTAATGTATTCGTCCTTCGATCGAACTACCACCTCCTGGCCGATCATAAGATTGAACACATGGACTGGCTCCTAAAACGCAAACCGGGACGAATAACCGGCACCATCCGCATCAGAGAGCCTGGACTAGGAGAGTCTATTGGGTTGTAAGAGTCAGGTTTATCTCTGATAGTTGGTGTCACCTTCGTTAGTTCGCGTGGGAAATAGAACAGGTTTGCAACTGCTAGCAACGCTCTCTACATCAATTGACAACAACACCTTTTTGCCTACCACGCAAACTCTGCACGCATTATTAAGTCTTCTTTCGACATGTTTCAGTACGTCTCGGTATGCCTCTACCAAATACAGAGCTATGACTCGACGACGAACCTGTCAACGCCCTTAGAGCCAACCTCGCACCATCCTAAGCTGACAAAGACAAGACAAGCGGCGGAAGTTGCATCACGACATGTACTTTCACAGCCGTGGAAAGTTAGACTGAATATCCACCTACCTGCCTAAATAAAAACTTGTCTACTTCCCTACATAATTACTACCCTTACCTACCTTCTTACATTATAACAAGGACAACTCCCTAGCCTACGTCTGCCACGTGCGACAGCATCCAGATCACCATCGTCTCCACTATCCCTAAGGAACACGTTTCTATAGAACCCTAGATTGTAAGAGACTACAAGAGGAACGGTAAGCGCACATATGGCAGACTGTTGCAATAAATCGGATTCGTAGTGCAAAGGCGAAATCGCACAAAAGCCAGGTTGGCATACTCTGAGGTTCAGGATAGTGGATCTAGACAAAATGTTTTTGTAATGCAAATTTCCTTAGATCAAGAAGATGATAGAGACTACTGACGACTACTTGCACTATGTAGACTATGATACTTTCCTTTTCTCGCCAAGAGCTCTTCATGACTCCCAAATTCTATGATTGCGCCTTCATCAAGTACAATTATCACATCAGCTTTCCGAATCGTGCTAAGCCGATGAGCGATTGTGATCGAAGTACATCCCTCTGTCGCACGTTCAATTGCATTCTGTATCTTTTGTTCCGATTCTCCATCCACCGCGGATGTGGCCTCGTCCAAAAGCAAGATTTTCGGATTTCGCAACAACGCACGAGCCAAAGCTACTCTTTGCTTCTGGCCACCACTTAGCTTGCCACCGCGACTACCAACGTTCGTAGCGAAGCCATCACTGATATAAGTAAGCATCAACTGTGCACGGATATGAGGGGACACTTACGGGAGGGAGCTGATGAAGTCGTAGATGTCTGCTGTTTTGCATACGGCCTCGATCGTAGCCTCCGAGACAACCTCATCTTCGATTCCAGCGAGAAGGTTTTCGCGTATCGTACCATTCAGTAAAGTCGGCTCTTGTACGACCAGGGCGAGTGACCGGCGGTACTTTTTGGTGTTCATGGAGGAGATAGGGTAACCATCAACAAAGATCTGACCTGAAGTTGGATCGTAGAACTGCTCAAGGAGAGAGATGATCGTACTCTTTCCGCATCCCGTCTTCCCGACCAGCGCTATGTGTTGACCTGGAAGTACTTTGAATGAAACACCGCGTAGTACCGGGTGTCCAGATCGGGTTGGATACTCAAAAGTAACATCTCGAAACTCCACGGCGCCATCAGTGATAATCGGTCCCAGTCCATCGCCAGTTCGCGACTCTATTTTTGTTCTCTTCTTCAAAAGGGTTCTGATATTGTTAGAGGACTTCTTGGCCTTGCCGATGTCAGGAGCGAAGGAGAATACGATGCCGACGGACATAGCACCCAGCAATATTGATGAGTACACTACAATAAATTGTAGAGTGTTGTATTCCCGGCGCACAATCAGGGTGCCACCAAACCAAAAGCCCAGAGCCATACATGCATAGAAGACCGATTGAGCAATCGCATACAGCAGAGATGATACCAGATTTAACCGGAGATTCTTTTGTTTCGCTATCGCCAAGAGTTTTTTGAAGTGGGTAATAGCTGCATCTTCGCGTGTAAGCGACGCTATGGTCCGGATTCCTGAAATGGTCTCGCTCGCAAAACCTGCAGCTGCAAGATTATGCCTTTCCGTACGTGCCTGGTGCTCACCAACGATGCGTATGCCCCAGAAACCACAAACGATAATGAGAGGAACTACAGCAAAGCAGACGAGAGCAAGCTTCCAGCCGAAGGCACAGGCTAAGGCAAGACTGGAGACTAGGGTAGTCAGACTTATGAGAATAGTTCCGATGATGGATCCGCCTAGGCCAGCGAGATGACTTGTCTCAGTTGACACAAAGCTAACCAGATTTCCTGCAGAGTTACCTTGCTGGTCATAAAATTCCATGTCCTGATGTAGAATAGCCTCCGTCACCTGTGTACGGACGCGAAAGATCAAAGACTCAGCGGAATGTACGAAGGTGATGCTCTCAATGCAAAACGCTGCTGTCTGTACTAGAGCAAGCATGAGATACATCAAGGACCAAAACCCAGCGCGAGTTCGTATCGACTGCTGTAAGGGCTCTGATATCGCAATCACAGCTTCACCAAACACGATTGCAGACGCTGGTTCTTCGAGACCTGCGATAAACGAACAAAACAAGCCTAGAAGCACAACAACAAGATCTGACTTGTTGAATCGGGTCAGGAAAGTTGCCAAATCTCGTAAAGACCCGTCGGATGCTTGTGTTTTCTCGTTTCCCCGTGCACTGTTCTGGGAGCGGCGAACATACGCTTGAATATCATGTCCAGTTTGTGAAGCTAGTCCTTCTGCCTCGTGTTCTTTTCCGAGGAGCGATTCTCTTTCAGTTCCTGAGATGCATTCGACTGTTGACCTTCCGTCTGGATGTTGAGCTGGTTCTGTAGTTTGGGTCTCCATCAGACGCCGGTACAAGCCATCCTTCCTAAGCAGCTCACGACAAAGGCCTTGCTCTACGACTTTCCCTCCCGAGATGACCACGACGTTGTCCGATTCGCGAATCGAGGCAAGTCGGTGCGCAATCATGATTATAGTGCATTCCTTGCAGATTTGGCGAATCGCAGCTTGCACTTTCGCCTCGGTCTCGCTATCTAGGGCAGATGTTGCTTCATCCAAGATGAGGACTCTGGGGTTTGCAACCAACGCACGAGCTATGGCAATGCGTTGCTTCTGCCCCCCAGACAATTGAGACCCTCGCTCACCCACTAGTGTTTCATACCCGCTTGGCAAACGAGATATGAAGTCATGGGCGCATGCAGCCTTGGCTGCGTCTTCGATGATCTGCTGCCGTTTCTCTGGTGAGCAAGCATCACTGCCTAATGTAGGGCTACCAAGACCGTATGCTATGTTGTCCGTGATAGTAGTGTTGAAGAGGATAGGTTCCTGGCCAACTAGTCTGATCTGACTCCTAAGCCAGCGAACGTTCAAAGTCTGTATACCCTGCCCATCGAACAGTACTTGACCCTCTACAGGGTCGTAGAAGCGCTCGATTAGATGAGATATCGAGCTTTTCCCTTGGCCAGTTTTGCCGACAACCACTGTGATCTGCCCAGGGCGAAAGACGATGTCGAGTTGATTGATGACCAAGACATGCGGGCGTGAAGGGTAGATATGGCTAACACCACGAAATTCAATCTGACCTCGAGATATCTGTGGTCGTAGCCCATGTTCTGATGTAGCATCTATTGTAGATTCACGGGCGATCATCGTGAATAGCCGGGATGCGGAGGCGAGAGCTGAGATAATACTGTCTGCGTTGGATCCTACACCGAATACCGCAAAGGCGGCAGTCTTGGCAGCAGTGGCAACCACAAGTACATCGACGAAAGTAGCAGTGCCGTCGGTCAAGAAACGTGAGCCTTGCCAGAACGCCAAAGCCATATTGAGATAGCCTGTTCCTATGGCAATACCAAGGACACATCCTATCATGGCCTTCAATCGAAATGAGCTTGCTCGAGCTCGCTGAAGGTGCTCGCGATATCGCTTTATAACGCTGTTCTGGATTCCCAACGCAGCAACACTTTTGATAGACCCTATTGCCTCTTCGATAATAGTGTTTCCAGCGGAAGTCTCCTCCAGTGACTGACTGGCATATCCACTGGATAATCTCTTGCCAATCAAGAAAAGCGAGAATGCGAAGACAGCACACCAGAGAAGTATGAGTGTGAGTCTCCAGCTGTAAGCAAAACACAAAATATAAGTACTGAGAAGGGTTCCAAAGGCGCTGACGGTCAGTCCGAGTTTCTGTGAGATAGCATCCTGGACAAGAGTCGTGCCGGTCGAGATCTGTGTCGTGAAGCTGCCAGCTCCCAATTCGTCGAAGATCGCGATGTTCTGCTTCAAGGTTGCTGAGAAAAAGTGTTCTTTGATCTTTCGTGCCAGCTTCTCTCCTGTGTACACGAATCCCAGCCGTGAGATGTATTGGGTGACGAAAGAGGCGATTGCGATATAGACAAAGTATAGCGTGAAATGATCGATTGATGCTGTCCAGGCGGAGACGGATCGGCTAGACTCGGGACCGTCATTGTCGACCTGTACGAAGATATATGCGATTCTACTGAATATGATCTGGAAGATTAGTGGAGCGTACGTATGAAGAAGACATGGGGTAAGATGATACTTACAGATGGCACAACTCGACATACACCTGCTCCAAATGCGCATAGAGAGCTGATCGCAAGGATCATGAGATCCATGCCATTTGCATAACGATAAAGATCTTTGATTGTGACCTTGACTTCTGGGAAAGCTGCTTGCTTTGTTGTTATATCAACATGGGTCGGTGTATCGTTCGAGCCCCGAGAGTCTTCCATTTTCAGTGCAGCTCCAAAGCTTCGAACCACAATACCATAATCTAATCAATGAGGTATGATTGAGTCGAAGTAGGGGGAGTCGGATTCCGCGCGGCGGCCTCGTCCCTGGTCGCTCAAACGTTCTGCCAATAGAGTTGATTGCTCAGGGATAAGTCAAATTATATTGTACAGTAGTAATCCCCAAAACTGCCGAGTCACCTCCCGAACTCGTATGTTAGCTCAAAAAATAAACTCTCCGAGTGTACATTGGGTGATTGCTTGATCATGATTCACTTTTGAGTCTAGCGAGAAGAAACGAGTAATGATCGTACGAGCTGGTCAATCTGCATTACTATAATCAAATTTGTCCTATCTTTGTATGCATGCAAAAGAGCATGCATACGATACAGTACTGTGATAAGGTATGGTAGGGTGGGGTGAAACAACTAGTTACTGCTTTGGGCCCGTTATCATTTAATTAGCCGAGAGTCGTTCGGCGGGTTTGTTTGGAAGAAGGCTGAACCTTCGGGTAAATCTTCGGTGCCTTTATCCGCAACCTAGTATAAACTTTGTTACCAGCTAGTCTGCCAGCGAGCGACTTTTATCTGCGCCCTCTTGTTAGCCTTTTCTTATGCGCGAAAAGTGTGATCTCAGATATCAGTGAGACCGATCAGGGGAAAATGGCACGTCTACTGTGTTTAGAAAATCCACTTCTTGGTAACGGCAACAATGTTTTTTGTATACTCAATGTGTATACTAACGAAGAATGAATTTCTGAAATGCAGACATCCAGGCGTTTGGGTAAGTTAAGACTGTTAGTATTGCTCTTTCCCAGCTCATCATCATTCAGAAATCATACACTATTGAAGAAATATGGCCTGAAGCCGAATGATGCAATTCTGGCTGATCAGCGTCATCATAACATCTACGAAGATCTCATCGATAATCATGCCGTGGTAATGACGGCTGGTGGAGGGGCCCAGAACACCGCTAGAGCTGCGGCAGTACGTTGCACCTGGATAATGCTACAATATCAACTAATCATGTATAACTGTCAGTACATGCTCGCATCAGGTAGCGTCCTCTATCTAGGCTGCGTCGGCCGTGACAGCTATGCCGATATACTCAGATCTGCTTGCCATCAAGCTGGTGTAGACGCTGAGTATCTCGTCGATGACTCCCAGCCTACAGGCCGATGCGCTGTCATAGTTACGGATGACAATCGAACTTGCTGCACTGACCTTGGCGCGGCAAATTGTTACAAGCTCAAACACTTGGAGCAGCCACGTATCTGGAACCTTGTTACCGCGGCGAGATTTTACTACGTTGGTGCTTATCATTTGACTGTCTGTCCTGAAGCGGTCATGGCATTGGCGAACGAAGCAGCAACAAACAACAAGGTTCGACTGCATCCTGTGTTTTGGGTTACATCGACTCACTCAAACAACCTAGGTCTTTATGATGTCCCTGTCGGCGCCTTTTATCCCACACGTGTTTAAGGCGACTTTGGACATGACGGAGCCTTACTGGGACGTCCTTGTTGGCAATGAAAGCGAAGCCATCGCTTGGGCGGAGTCTCACGATTTCCAGGTTTGTCATCATTTCTTTGTTACCTGTGTCAGACTCCAATAGGCTTTACCTGGTGACTGATATCATGTCAGAGCAAAGATGTTGGCGAGATTGCTCGACACCTCGCCGCTCGTCCTAAGGTGAATAAAAAGCGGCCGCGTATAGTACTGATCACTCAAGGCCCCTCGCCAACTATCATTGCGGAGAGCGGGATACTTGAGGATCGTTGCATTCCCGTCAAGTCAATCGAACGTTCCGAGATTGTCGACACGACTGGGGCAGGGTATGTGATCTAGAACAAAAATCACGTATTTTACGCGTGTCCAGTGACTGACAGTGATGAATTGTATACAGCGATGCATTTGCAGGTGGCTTCCTCGCTGGCCTTGTTGAAGGCAAACCATTGGAGACTTGCGTCGATATGGGTCATTGGCTAGCCAGACTGAGCATCAAGGAGCTAGGGCCAAGGTAAGACCATTCCGAACACTTCTGTCTACATAGAAGGGCAGATTCGCACATACATGAGACACTTCTGACGTCAGCTCAAACACTAGGTTCCCTAATCCTAAGCAAAAGTACAGCTTTTGAGAATCATGGGAACTCCAGCTAAGGAATTAAATGGAAACATCACAGAAGACAGGTTGTCGACCGGTATCACTTATGTAAGCTGCGTTCTTCACCTATTGCATCTCCATAAATGGCCGTCTCTCGTTACGAGCTTATCCTTCCACTCTCTCCAAATACTTCTGCTTGCTCGCATTGCTTGAAACTTTTACGTTTGTCTTTGAAAGCTTGGCATGATTATCATTTTTATGGTGACAGGATCTTCACGTCGAGAACGTCTTATACGAGCAATAGAAAGTGAAAACTTTGGTATAGTAATGCAAAAAGATTGCCTAGTTATGAAATAAAGAATAGGGCAGGGGGGAAAAAATAGAAAGGACGGTGTATTGAGAAGCAAGCATCATCAGGCAGACTGATTTTCAGCGATGCCTTCTTATTCGATATGGCGTTGAACTCCATAATGGGTTCCAGGGCCTAGACCACTACACCAAACACTCTCCAGTGGAAAATAGAGAAATCTCACATAAAATACAGACTGATTATTTGGATTTTCTACCTCGCAAAGTCGCATTGAACAACTGATATAGTTTCCTTTTGTTTCTGCATTCGAACAACTACCATGCCTAAGAGATAAAATGTTTGTTGACTGTTAAATTATCTGTGTGTCTATTTCCATTCGTCTGAGGTCAAGTAACATGAGATCAAGAAAGTAACAACGATCGATCTCTCCCTCGCTTTCTGACCTTTCACCCAGCATCATGGCAGACTTATCGTTGCAACAGGATTCCCAACCTTCTTGTCTAATATGTGGGAGACATACATGGCGCTCATAATTTCGGCGGGTAAGCGATGGTCATCCAGGTTTGAGGTCAGCTCTGGATAGTCAATCTTCCCTTCGATGAAAAGGATCATTTCCAATATCATGGTAGACTTTGCTTGCTCAGTATACAACTTCTCATGGCTATAACCCAGCTCGTCTGCAAGGTCTGCCAGATGAAGAACCTCCATTGGCTGCGCATGACCAGTAAGCTCGTGATTGCGAAAAACCTGCATCTCAAAATGATTATTGGCGCCTGTCTGGAAGTTTCCAGGTGTGCATGCACTGCCATCGTCGGCAATGGATCTGGATTCGATGTAGATTGTCTGGAATGGCCCGCTTCTGATCTCATAAGCCTCGTGCTTGACTCTCCCATTGCCTTTGTATTGGTCCGGATTTGGGTGAAGGGTCGAACGTTGGCCATACCCAGTACTGGAAATGTTGAGTTGGGCCAGCATTACTGGGTCGCCTTCTTGACGGAAGGTCAATTGTGCTACCGCATCGATTTCCCCGTACCCCTGAGCTCGCTGCGCAAGATCTTGCTCGCTTTCTGTACAGACTGATTGATATTCAGCTACTCCGAACAGGTTCTGATAATCTTCCTCACGCAGCTGTCGGAAGAATCCCTTTGGCGATATAAAGCTGCTGATCACGTCGATACTATCTGGTGATTTCTTTGGGATTATACCAGCTTTGGCGAAGCAACAAGTGAGGTCGAGGATGTGGTAACCGCTATGGGATACCTTGCCGTAGCCCTTGCTGTAGGTGTGGTATCGCTGTTCCAGGGTCTCCAAGGGCAAGCGAAAAGTTCCGTCGCAGTAAGATGCTGAGATACCGGTCACAGGACATCCAGTATGCTCAGCGATTTCGCGAATATAGCTCATAGCCCGCTTGAATATTGGATTGAAACGTCGGTGACTGCTGACCATGAAGCAAGTACGCGTATGCTTCTGAAGAGCAGAGTATTCCGCAAATAACTTATGGTAGTCCTCTGCGATGCCTCGTGCTTCGTTGATGTCGACGGTTGCCCTTTCACGGGTGGTGATCGGCTTGTCCATGAGTATGCTGAGACCGCGGCCCATAGCCCAAAGCGCGTATGCTTTGTGAGCAAGAGGCTCAGTACTAACGACGAGAGCGTTGATTTCCAGTGTATCGACCAGGTGATCCAGTGCAGTCTTCACGTGTGCGGGCATCACATCCGTGAAGAATGGAACGAAGTGGGTCTTCATCTTGGGACAGTGCTTCAAGGCCCATTCTGTCACTTGTATGCGCTTTTCCTCCACATCAACTCCCGCTTTCACCATTTCTCCATGGTCTTTCCCCAAAGCTTGGAGTTGTGGAATATAAGTACGCTGCGCATGGGGCCCGATACCGACTATCATGATTTTCGCTTCAGTCATGGAGGAAGGGACTGGATATTTGCAGTCTTTGGTGGAATCATGCCTAGATAGAGTGGACATATTTTAGAACTGTCTCTGCGCCTGTATCGAAGAGAAGGTATTTGAGTAGAGAGCTGTACATAGATGATTATGTAAATTTCGCGGGTCAGACTGATATACTGCACAAACCATTTGACCTAGGGCAGAACATCATCAAGTTCCGAGGCCTCGTCAAATAATCCTCCGAATCTTGTGTTCCTTACCGTCTGGGTAATAGGGTCGAGTGGGTGCCGGTAGGCCTTGAGAGCAATCGAGGGCTCATGGTGTTGTCTCGTCTCTTCCCTCAACCAATAAGCTTACGAGGCGTCTCAAAATGAGAAACGGAAGATAGTTGCACGCTAGATCTGATGTGCATTTCTTCCGTTTGAGCGAATGAGATACGAGCGGTCAAGATAAGGCCATGGTAGCACGGATCAATCTGAGCTTCGAGGCGAAGTTCACGACCCTGTAGCTGATGGTGAAGCTGTGGCGCTTGCCAAGGCCGAGGGAGCTGCCCGACTAATGCAGAACTCTCCGAAAAGGGCGATAGATTTAGTATCAAGCGCTCCGAGATGAGGGATAATATAAAGTCGCCGAGCGATATTCATGGCTCCGAGTTCCTCGGCATGATGGAATTGAAAGTTCAGGCGCGCTGTTTTTGAACATTGGAAACTCTTTTGTGGCGTTCGGCATGCATGTCCCTATGAGTGCTCTCGTGAGATAATTGCTTGTCACTGCTAGCGCAGTAAATATCTTAGTACAGAATCTCATTGGCAACATATTACTCTGGATCTAAGACCTACCATCCGCGAAAAAGTATCAGATACTGTACTTGCTAGAGATGCTCAGCTCCCAGGACTTGGAAACCATATGGGGATGGAACAGTCTTGTTCCACCCAGCATTCATGGCAATGTGCATGGCGCGATCGAAATCAATGTTCAAAAGACACCATGGGCACCAGCAGTTTGCGCTTGGGATGGTCAATTCACTTATGAGGATATCTGGGAACTGTCCGATCGCCTGTTCCACCGTTTGGCCCAATATGGCTGTGAGCCTGGGCAAATTGTTCCTATCTGCTTCGAGAAGACTAAATGGACCATTGTTGCCATTCTTGCAGTCCTCAAGACTGGCGCAGCCTTCGTACTCTTGGATCCAAGTCTGCCCAGAAGCCGTTTACGACTAATCACGGAGAAAATCTCAGCCTCGGTCCTTCTGTCTTCGCTCCAGACGGCCTCGTTGGGAAAGTCCCTCTTGGAGAATACCATCATACTTGATCCTACTGTGCTCCTTGGAGCTGAGCTTGGTCCAAATTGCATTTCCTCTGGTTCACATCAGTGCGACAGACTTTATGTTTCATTCACTTCTGGAAGTTCGGGAAACCCTAAAGGAGTTGTAATCACTCATGCCAACTACTGCGCTGCCATGTGGTATCGGATCAAAGCTCTTTCACTTGGTCCTCATTCACGGGTCTTTAACTTTGCTTCCTACGGCTTTGATGTTGGTATTGAAGACATGCTCGCTACCCTCATGGCTGGCGGATGCGTGTGTGTTCCGTCAGAAGACGAGCGCATGAACGATATCCTCGGTGCTATCAATCGATTGGAGGCGAATAGCGCTGATTTGACCCCTTCGATGATGCATCTGCTTAGCCCAGAAGCTGTGCCTAGTCTGAGAGTCCTGAAATTAGCCGGAGAGTCGCTTACATCAGCGAACGTGCTGAAGTGGGCGGATCGCACGACACTTTTCAACGCCTACGGACCGACGGAGTGCACAGTCTATTGCACGGTCAACCGAGTCACATCTCTAGAGACTGAACCGTCGAACATCGGACGAGGACTGGGAGCCTCAACATGGATAGTCGACCCTGATAACCATAACCGGCTCACAGCTGTTGGCGAGACAGGAGAGTTACTCATTGAAGGGCCTCTCGTTTCCCCGGGATATCTTGGAGAAGATGAGATGACAGCAGTAGCCTTCATACATGATCCAATCTGGCTGACTCGGGGCTTTGGTACACACAAAGGCAGACGGGGTCGGCTCTACAAAACTGGTGATCTGGTTGCGTACGATAAGGATGGCACGATCAAATTCAAAGGGCGGAAAGACACACAGATCAAGATCAGAGGACAGCGCGTCGAACTCGGTGAGATCGAACATCACCTCCTTGAGCATCTTCCCAGAGGTGTACAAGTTGTTGTAGAAGCCATTCAGCCCCTGGACAACTCATCATCTCCGACGATCGCAGCTTTTCTGCTAATACCGGGCAGCGAAAGGGCAGATGATATTCTGTGTGACACGATACCAGAGCCTTTGAAAGCAGAAATACTAGCTCTGAAACCCAGACTCAGTGCTACCATGCCTGATTATATGCTCCCTACAGCGTACATTCCTGTGGCAAGATTTCCAACGACGGCATCATGGAAGACGGACCGGAAGGAACTACGAAAGATAGGCTCGGCGCTATCCAGAAGAGAAATCAGTGCTTTCGTCGCTTACCGTGATGTTATCGACTCCGAACGACTTTTCAATGAGGATGCAATCCGTGGTATGTGGGCTGAGCTACTCCGAGTTGAGCCGCGAGATATAGAGCGAACAGATGACTTTTTCTGGCTTGGCGCAACATCCATAACGGCAATGCAACTCACGGTCATGGCACGGAAGCAAGGCATACCCTTGACAGTCGCACAGGTTCTCCGCCACCCACGCTTGATTGATCTCGCTCGGATAACTGTTGATATCCCACCAGCGATCCCAACCCGCTACGATCCTTTCTCTTCTGTCAATATATCGAATATCGATCGTCATCTCGAAAACCACGTACTGCCAGCACTCGCGATTGATCGAGCAGATTTGGAGGACCTTGCAGAGGCCACAGACTACCAAGTCGCTAAGCTGAGCACGGGACTTACCAGCACCAGAGGTACCACAAACTACATTATTCTTGATTTTCAAGAGCCCGTCTCACACGATCGACTTGAAGCTGCTTGCATGAAAGTCGTCACACACATACCTGTTCTTCGCACGGTATTCCTAGTCCATCAACGTCGCGTGTTGCAGGCAACCACTAAGCATTTTCGGGGATCATTTGCATGCCGACGAGTACTAAGTTCCTTGGAAGCTACTACCAACGAGGTCATCGAACTTGACATGCATCATGAAGTTGATCCTGGCAGGAACATGGTCAAATTTTGGTTCCTCGGTGGGAATGGCCGTACTCGTCGCATCATATTGCGATTGTCGCAGGCATACTATGATGGTCCGACCTTGATCAAGATTGTGAAGACTCTTCGAGCTGCATATCTGAACGAGAGATTGCCACCTGTGATCAATTTTACAGAATACATGTATTGGATGCGGAGGGAAAATCTGTCCAACGAGGCTGAACAATACTGGCGACAACTACTGGCAGGATCAGTTGTTACCAAGATGGTTAACTATTCAAAACCGTCGTACAAGAATGTCCTTGACGGTGCAGTCAATCAGATCGTGCAAACTTCCCATTTCCAGGGCTGCGGACTGACTATGGGTACCGTTATCAAGGCAGCATGGGCACTTGTGCTCCGTGAGCTGAGTGGAAAGTCTGACGTCGTCTATGGTTTCACGACATGGGGTCGTAACGCCCCTTTCCCGACAATTTCGGATGTTGTAGGACCGTGTCTAGACACGATGCCTACAAGGGTGAAATTTCGCACGAACATGACACCCGCAGAACTCATGGCATCAGTACAAGAACAGACTATCGCAGCTTTGCCGTTCGAGAATTTTGGCTATCAGAAGCTCGTCGAGCGCTGTACTAGCTGGCCTCGTTGGGAACGCCTGAGCTCGATTGTCATGTACCAAAATCTTGGTGAAGATGTTGATCAGATGTCTTTGGGCGATAACATGATCCTGTCTAGGAGGGCAGTACGTCCACCTTCTGATAGGGCTGACATCGCCGTTTACACAAAGCCGCATGACCTGGGAACGTTTATCGAGATCAACTCTTGCAATACGAGCCTGCCGCCACACTACGCCCGGCTACTACTGCAGAGGATGTGTCACTTTATCGAATATCTCACTGCTAATCATGGTGCTAATTCTTCTCTCCCACCTATAGTGCACGCGGACCGTCCCGCCATTCCTTTCGTTCTTGAAACGTCCAAGACTGAAAACCAGTCTCCACCAGCCAGATCTTCAAACACGCAAGAAAGCTCTAGTCACGTCATGAAGTTGGTCATAGAAGCATGGAAATCGATCATCGCTTGCAGTGACGAAGAGACAAGAGCATATGAAGCCAAAGACGTACCTTTCTATGACATCTGGGGGACCCTTACTGCAGCCTGGGGATTTGCCGACTTCTATCGGAGAGCTGGCTACGTCACGAGTATGGAGGCGATGATAGATAATCCAACAATCGCGTCGCAAGCTGCAGTTTTATTCTCTTCATCATATGATGCGGAATGCCTGCTTCCTTGGTCGTAGTCGATTGACCCGTCGGCATGCCATTTCGAGGCGTCTCAGCTGTGTCTCACGACATGATCGTTCCATACACACAAACACTTCTTTGTCCCCGATCTGAGCAGAAGCATATTGTGGAAATGAGCAACGGCATAGCGATATCGAGATTTGAAATAGATCACGTAATTAAGTACGTCTCGAATGCGAATTGCGAATAGCAAGAGTTTCTCGACCTGTTCCGCTTTCTCGTGGAGGACTGGATGAACATGAGATGTATAAGAAATCCAATACGCTTTCGATTTCTAGTAGACTGCTTATTTATTCATGGTTCTTTTGAGCAAGTTTCGAAGCTGTGACAACCTCCCTCGCATTACACTGATGTCATCACGCCTCCATGATCAAGCCGTAATCCACCATCGTGTCCACGATGTGCGATGACATACGAGAGCTGGAAATCCCATGACCGTTATCGTTCGACCTCCTACTTACACGGTAGTTGTCCAGCAAACTCAAGACGTGCTCGATCTCGCCCTAAGAATGTACGCTGATCTGTAGCACAAATTTAATCTAGAATTTGCAGTAGCCTTCGAGTGGTGTGTCATCCAATTGCAACCCCGGGAACGGAGGAAGGCGCGCGTTGGAGGAGCCGTCTAGCTTGATGTTCCCGTTGACTGTGCCACTCGTGTTTGAGCGCAGTCTTCTCTCGGGATTGTCACATGTTTGTAGATTACAAGATAGAGAACATCGTGTAGATGCCCAGCTAATAGGATTGATTGATTGATTAATTGGATGATTCTTGTAAGCTATTTACAGTCTTGTCGTCTGTATGAGCTATCGTAAACATTGCTTGGTCGCTGCGCTCGCAGCTTGGTCTCAAGTACAATTTGGCAAGAAATTCAAAACTTACCTGTCTCTGCTGCTCTTCACTTCGTCTTTGTACCGTTGTGGCTCCCATCCTAATTGTCTGTTGGGGAAACTGGACCGTCGACTTTACCATTCCCAAATTTGGTGTCTACTTCTCCATCGAACCATCTACTGGCTCTCCTGTTCGGTATTCCCTCTTCTTTCTGTTTCCCCCTAGAAGGTAGGAGAGGTCTCCCTATCTTCTTCCCGCCTTTTCCTCCATCCCTCGTCTTATATCTGATCATCGCGGGCATCGTAACAGGACATGTGCCACTGTTTCGTCCTTAATCCCGCACTGGCACTTAGCGCTTTCCTCTACCTCGAGTCTCGCCAGGTTCGAGTCAAGGTGAGTATGTTTCGTGCGGGCTTGACGAGCACCGCCGCTTGGTCCGAGTCGAGTGATCCGTGTAGCTTTAGCATATGTTCCCCTGGCAGAGCGGCACCAAGTTGCTGTGTGTAGTGACCCTACGCGCATAGACCCGTCTCGCGTTGGTATCCCTCTGCACATCGTTTGACCTTCCTTACTACCAGCTCTCGAACAGCCCTGTGCTCTCGTACCCGTGCTGATAATCCATTCGTAGGCCTGCACCCTAGCGTTATTACGTCTCGAGCGATAGCATTTACTAGCTCGTTTCCTGGGATGTTTTGGTGTGCTGGGACCCATACTAATCTTATTTTGATCTTGTACCGTTCCACCTCCTCTAGTGATTCTAAGAGCCCCTGGAGCACTTCTCTGTCTTTCGCTTAGCTTATGAATTATCCGTCGCTTGAACAGTGATAATCAGCCAGACTACGCGAGTGATCGTCGAAGGGGCCTAAATCAATGCTCCTCAACTGTTGATCATGAATTTGGTGATGGATATTCAAAAACCCGCCATGTTTCACTGACAACTCCTATCCCTGGCAACTACGATCGACTCAAAAGGTAACAAAGCTTATAATACGTTCAATATTGAATCACTGCCCTACAGAGCTTTTTGCGATGACACCGAAGTAAGATTGAGATTCTTCTAATACAGCCATCCGGCGATCTCGGATGCTTGTCGCTACTTCTTCTTCCAAGCCCATTCGTTGAACCTATCAAAGTCCAGTATAATCCCCATGATCTCTAGTTCACTTCTAATAGCATCGATCCAGGCACATGAGGGTTCACAGCTGCTCAAGCTCACAGCATGAACGCGGGCCTTATAGTTGATCCACCATTTTGGAAAAATCCTGCAAATTCTCAGTCAAGGATGCAGGTTATCTTCCCTTTGTCGATTAACAAATTCCCAGGAGTAAGGCCCTCATGTGTGAAAACAAACATTTTAAAGGGTTGAAAGTATCTTGTTGCTTCATCAATCCTCAAGCGAAAGGTTGGTAAGTGCCACGAATCTGGTTGAATGGACGCATTCGTAACCCCAATTCTTGCTACATTCTCTAGAGCGTCTCTACGGACGTCAGCCATTAACAGCGTGTAGTCGGTAATGTCAGAAGCAACCGTCTTGTGCTCTGAGTCGGGCAGTTTACCCCATGGGTCGTCTGATGTTTCTCCTGGAGCCCGCTTCATGGTCCTGAAATATCGTTTGCCTGACACCTCAGTCCAGTGACAGATGATTTCTGGGACAGAAATGGTTGGGAATGTATCCTTAACAAAGCTGATTGTTTGTGCTTCATCCTCTATGTCTGGCGCCCACGATCTGACCTTCCAAATCAGGCCAGCAAACTCCCAGACAGCAGTAGAGGCTCCCGCCGAGTAGAATGGCTGGACCGAGATCAGGATCGTAGCAGGTATGGAAGAAGTACATCGGACTTGGAAGGTACGGCCAAACGGGTCTCGCCGACGGTAGAGAATATTGTCTTTCAAGGAAGAGAAGTCCTGAAGCTCGCAGATGTGATCGTGACCAATCAACCACTGAGTTTCTCCTATCTGAGAGATGCTTGATTTTATGGGTAGATCCATTTCGCTGGTATGACTTCAACTCGGATTGAGGTCTTACAAAAACAGTAATGGCTCAACAATACCCTGTGATAACGTTATGCTGGACAAGTTTACTGCGACCGGGATGAACTTTGTGAGGAAAATCAGTCCGTGGTCGCGAACACGTAGCAGATTTGTTCTGCAGCTTAGTAAGCTCCGCGTAACATCAGATGTTGCTGCAGCGTACATGCATGACGACTTGCGTAAAGTATAGTTTCAAGCCGTTACGAGTAAGGAAACTTCGTGTGCATGAATATATCACGAGTTGGAAAGGAAATCATGCGCAGATCAAGTATACTGCTGTTTTCAAAGATTGTGGGTGCGCATTCCATTGCTCTTAAAAGAACAATGTTCTATGCAGTTTGATCTATAGGATGAGAATCAAGGAAACTGGGGCCAAAGATCCGAAAAATTGCAACCCCGAACCACTCCAGATGTATATTAAGCTTGTATAGTCCGGGCAATACGCTTGCGTCAAAAGCTCCTCATTCTGAGCATCATACTTAAGTCCACAATCCCTCCGACATGCCAAAAGCGCTTACTAGTGATAGAAGACAGAGGCTTCCGACATCCGTTGGCCGCACATGTTTTTGCTCCTGAGGGATTATTGCATTCACAGTGGGAGCAGCTAACCGTGACGACTGGTGGCTGAGGGATCTAGGGCGTCATGATGATCGACTAAACCTAGTCGAAGATCGAGGATAGTAGCAAGGTAAGAATTACTTATGGACCCGGTTTGACAAGATGTATTTGCTGTGTTCTCATAATTTTCTTTCTGGAGTGGGCTGGAATCGCGAGTGAGGACGAACGAGGCTCACAGTACCAGATACTGCGCAGCAACCGTGTCCGGTCATAACACCGATCGAGGTACCGCAAGCCGTCACCTGTACAGCGCCGATAGCAGCCCGACCATCCATCAAAGAGCCGGTCGAGCAGGAGAAGCACTCATCCCGGCCAGACATCAGCGAGATTGTCAGGACTATCGTATCGACTGTGTCAGAAGTTGAGTCAACAGACATCAAAGAGGAATCGGATCTCGCTGACCTCGGGATTGATTCCTTGATGGGTATGGAATTGGTCCGTGAAGCTGAAGATACCTTCAGATGCGCTATACCCTAGAGGACATTATGGAGGCCATTGACTTCCGAAAGTTTGTCTTTTGCATTGGGACTATCCTGTATGGTCCTGAGAATGATAGCAGTGCTAGCACTAGTACCGCCAGCGAGTGGTCTGATACATGAGAGCATTCTACAACCCCTCTATCGACGGGAAGTAAGGCTGAGCACGTCAGTCCTTCTCAAGAGACGTTGAGCGGACTCACACTTCCTGCAGATGAGATATTGAGGTCGTTTGACGAGACAAAGATACTGACTGACTAAAGCATTGTCGATTACAAGATTGCCAACTTCGTGGACGTCATATTGGCCAAGTCGACGCAGCTATGTGTCGCCCTTGTGGTGGAGGCATTTGACAAACTCGGCTGTCCCATCAACGCGTTCGTCACGGGACAAGAGGTCCAACGTATTACATATCAATCATGGCACGAGAAATTGGTCGACTACCTGTACAAACTGCAGGACAAAGAAGCTCGACTATTGAACATAGAGGAATCTCGCATCACACGCAGCGCGATTGCGTATCCAACCGAATCGAGTGACGCCCTACTACAAAACCTGCTACGGGACCATCCGAAATGGACTTTCGCCAGTAACCTTACTCACTTCGCTGGAAAGCACCTTTCGGAAGTTCTTACCGGTAAGATAGATGGAATCATAGTCATCTCTGCTAATCGCCAACGACGGGATCCTGTTTCTGAATTTTACTGTGAGCACTCATTCAACAAGATGCCTTATCATCAGATGCAGGATTTTATCGGGCGTCTTGTTTCCCTTATCTGGATGGAAGATGGACCGCTGAAGATTTTGGAGATGGGTGCAGGTACTGGTGGCACAACTTGTGTGCTTGTTCCATTCTTGGCAAGTTTGGGAATTCCTCTAGAGTATACGTTCACCGATATCTCACCCTCGATGGTTGCACAAGCGAAAAAAGAGGTTCCGATATCCCTTCATGAGAATTTCCCGTGAAGCTTCCAGGTATCAACAATATACTCACCCTGACCTCAAGACTCATAGCAGGTAGGGAACGCTCAAGAATGGCGCTTCTGCTAGTAACACGATATGATACACGTTCCTCATATCAGGCCAAAGCACAATGTAGAAGAAGAGGATATCCTGAACCTACGACTAGTATATACGTGTTCATAGGTGTCAATGCTCTATTAATCGAACTTCCATCACGGTTTCCTTGAAATGGGAACTCGATCTGTTGTTCAGTGTGCTAGAGGGTGTTTGAAGGTCGTGATTCGTTATTGTTGTTTGATCTAAAGATCCGTGAAACTCTACAAGTCTACGCAATTTTATCTACCTGTCATATATTAATAGTCCCTTTGAGCAGGGATCGGAGCTTGAGCAATCGTTCTCTGATGCTTGCAATCTGGTTCCTCTCTCTGCCTACCTCAGAGTTCCTGGTGAGTGCCTCTATCAAGTGAGAAGACATCGTGGAATTCAATATGCCATTCTGTTTTCCCTCCTCTATCTTACTAACTCGGCAATTTTCCGGGAGACCCAAGACAGTTTCTATCTCACCCAGCAGATGTGTACTGACCTGCAGTACAAACTTGATCTGGAACCTTCCATACTCACGCAGCGACATGTCACCCAGTTGTATGTCTGCAAATATTGAGAGCCCTTGGTTTGGAAGCTCGATGGAATGCAAGCTCTTCACGTTTGTGCCCCTACTGATCCGCTCATGCTCAGAGATCCTGATAGTGATACATTTGCATATCGTGGTGTAAAGCACATCATGTACCTGTCTCAAACGAAGGTAGCAACCTGCCAGTTGGAGTATTGTAGTCGTATCGATCGAATGTGATGCTCGCTCATGCCGCCCGAAAGATGAACTTATGAGATTTATGTTGGGGTTGCTTGGTGGTGGTTTGTTGCCAGTCTCCCAAAAGAATATGTCGTCGGTACTCGTGCTTGAATAAACATCATATGGAGAGGCACACTCGCTTTCGACACCGGAAACATCGTTCTGGTATGACCGTAGAAGGGCAAGATAACACTCTGAGTTTTGCAAAACTCTTCCAGCAAATCCACATGGAAAGGGTTGAATGGTAGATGATGCATCCATGTGACGTTGCAAACAATCGCTCGACTCGACGAGTTCGTACAAAGCCATGTTTAGTTCTGAAAGTTGCTGCATACAGTGCCGCTGTGTCGCTGCGAAGTCACCTGGAGCGTTTCTTTCTTTGACAATTACGTGGTCGGTATTTGAGCTTCCGGGCATTCCCTGTTCATGGGATGGAGTAGAAGATCCGGTTGCCGGGCCGATACCGCGCTCCACCATTTCGTGATCTTTCTGGGTGATTTCACGGTACCTATCAAGTATTGTAGCACTAGCAAGATGTGGTTGGTGGCACATCGATGGCTCGAATCGAGATTCTGGAGGCATCTGATGCGTCAAACAGGCCCAGGAAGGGTCTTGACCAGTAGGCAGTGTCCAGTCGCTCCCGGAACTCAACATCTCAAGATTCATCAGGTCAGGCGAGATAGATGTGTCTACTAAGCCGTTGTTGATATGTTCAAAGGTTGATAATTGTGGATGAGGTTGATGCGTATTGCTTTGTGGAGTTGGCAAGATCCCCGCCCATTCCTTTACCATATCGTTGTTGAGCGGGGACGCAGCATACTGAGTGTTTACGGGATCTTGATTTCCGTGCCCGAGCGAGTAGGATACATGCCCAGATAAGCTTGCCTGGGCGTGGCTTGATTGCGAGGTCGAGTCTTGATACACAGGCGGGCTTCTGTCGATCATGTGATTCGAAGGACGAGGCAAAAACATCGTCTCACACAGTACTGTCTTCTGGGAGGTATTCTGATACGTCAACCTTGGGGGACGAGCTGTGACTGGAGGACGACCAGTAGGTTTGGGGACTCCGAAGCTACAAATGTCCACCTTCGCTTTGGCGCAACGTTCACATTTTCCAGATGAATCCGAATCTCCCGGCATGCATCGCAGTTTTTGCGCTCGACAGCGATCACAGGCTGCCCGCTTGCCTTGACGCGAATTTGTTTGGCCAGAGGATACACTGCTCATAATGTTGAGTCTCAAGGTGTGAGAACTTTTGTTGCTATAGCTCAGATTCGATTGGAAGGAAGGAGATGGTGCCGCGGTCATTGTAGCCCACCTTGGCTCAGACAAGTATATGAGTCTATGAACCATACCAGCCGTGTATGATGAACGCCATGGAGCATATGAGTCGAATCCTTCTCGCTTCTTATATTACATTATCATGTATTGCCTAGAAAGATCCAAGCACAAGCGCAACGCTTTGGCAAAGCTTGGGCGGTTTCATCAAAGCTTGGTAGTTTGGTCACTTTTCCTCTGGATAGAGACTAGTAAACCTAGCGGCTACTGTGCGAATCAGGTGAGCACAAGCGGGCTGTACCGGCCAGTCGGGTAGCCCCTGCAAAGAAAGAGCCTCTTCCCTGAGATCGTAGTGATTCTCCACAAGCTGCGCACATACTTTCGTCCGAAGGAACCCTGTATCTCGAACACATTCAACCTACAGATCTTGATAAAATCGGTATGACCGAAGGAACGGAGAGCAAGCCTCTCTGGCGTGATTAGAATGCCGACGTTCTCCTTCTCAGTTCCTTTGACAAAGTTGTCTAAAATTGATTGTGGCATGGCTACCGCACGACGAGCCCTGCCATGATACCGTCCCAAATCATGAAACCTGTGGGACTAGTCGAAGTGCTCTTCAAAGTCATTGCAGCACTGCACCATTGTAAATTTTGAACATCCACGTAGCTGGCACGCTCCTGAAGGCTTGGTCCTGATTGGCTGTTACGATACTGAAGCGATATTTAGAATTGCGTACATCTTCCATCCTACGTGGAGTCGAGGTTCTCGGACAGATGCAGATCGGCTTGCACTGTGAAGCCGGTTGAGCTTTTCTCCACCAATGAGAATGTAGAGACAAACGTCAGTTCTAGTCTGACGACCGGATGAATAATTGGCAGTTTGCTGTACATCCCGACCAGGTTGGTGTCAGCATTCATCAATATGTCGACAGAAGCAGACAAGATAACACTAGTGGCTTGTACGGGTAACAGGTTATGACCGGAGTTGTTGAGATGATCGGAGGAGACATCGAGATCGTCTGGCTAATCACAAGCGCAGAGTCCGCTCTCAACGTTGACAGGTAATATCGTGTCATTACTGGTATCCACATCTCTCGCTTTTGTTGAAGCAGGGAGTGATTGACTATCTAGATCACTTGCATTGAGATGCAGTTGGCGAGTTTGGACATGGCATCGTCTAGAGACTTGCAAATGGTGGCGTGCTGTTGCCGTCGGAAGCGAGGAACGTGCCACCATATAGGGTTTGCCAAAGCCAGGCCGAGGCTCTCACACTGTCAGGTATAGCTGAGGTGTCCGAAGAGCGAAAGTCTGAGTGGTCGTGTAACTACGCAAGAACCATAGAGTGATAGAAGAGCATAACATGGATCAGTAGCGTAAAACTTACGCTATCTTATTACCCGCTACGGCGGGATTTTTGCCGGAGCGGAAACGAAGCTCCGCATTCAATATATAACAGACGGGCCCGAGCGCTGCTTCCCCACATTTGAACAGACCTATGGCAAAGGAAACTGCAGACATCTTGAATCGCAAGGCTGAGTGCTTCATCATGGATGGCGAAGAGATCAAAGGAGGATGAGTCGGACAGTCGTTTGAGTCTGCGGATCACCGTCAATGGCTGCAGCGTCGGCTTTGTTGGCTTAGTCTGCTTGGGCATGATCACATAGCTTTCAGCGGAACCAACATCCAAAGACATATGAAGCAGCTTGCACTCTGTTATGGCACAGGCATGAAATGTGGCACGCATGTGTCTCAACCCTAATTGATACCGGTTTGTGGACTATCGCATACGGCACAGCAAAGTCAACTCACTAAGCCGAAGCCCTCGAGCCACGTTGAACATGAGATCGACGCGGGGAGAGGACGGAAGCGCGCACCGTCTGTCCCCCAACGGAGTAGCCACAATCCATCTTGCAGCCTCTACCAAGCAATCACAAGACATTGGACTCGGCTACCGTCAGCCTTCGAGGCCGACAGCGTCACAATGGTTAAGAGCTATCATACAGTCAGCGTTGCAGAAGATCTTGTTGACTTCGCTGAGAGACATAAAGGTGTTGATAAGTTGACTTGCAACACGTGAATCCATAATTTTGAGACGTGCGGAACATTCGGATCTACCAACCGAGCCGTCAACAACGTCTTGGAACGCAAAGACCACTCTAGCATGCATCGTCAGACGTCTGAATCACAACTTGTCAGAGGTGATCAAGGAATCGACGAAATAGTCGCAGCGCACAATACCATCACCTTGTTGAGGCGCGCACCACGATCAAAGATGACCTCATCCTGCGCCTCGATATACCCACGTGTCATATCCTCTAGGTTCTCTAGCGCAAGCAAATCATTGAGGGTGCTGATTAAGAGCTCGAGAGCTGTCGAAGAACGATCGCACTCGTCGCACTTAAAGGCCGGAGCGTGGGCTAGCGAATCATTAAGGTGCTGTTCAAGAGCTCGGGAGCTGTCAAAAGAACGGTTACAATCCTGACAAGAAGCCCTAATGCTGAAATTGTTTAGTACAGCTCGTAAGATACTAGTGTCTACACTAAGACAAATGCAGTATGGTGTGTTAGGAATAGGTGGTTAAGTAATTAAAAGACAGTTAAGCCTTCCACCGCCATAACATAGTAGATAATCCTCGCTATCTAGTCGGAACGTCGAGGACTATAACTACGAGGATAGTAAGATGCTTAGCGCCTAAGATTTATGCAGCTATACTAATAAAGCGGTTTACTACTTCTAAGAAATGCAGAGGATCTATAAAGTACCTATATATGTCAGTGCTACATGCCTATTAATATCGCTTACATTTATAGTATACATTTTTACTATAAGTTATCTTTACCTCTTCTTCTAGTCGTAATAATTATACTAGATAGAACTAAAGACCTAGCTAGGAGCTATAGATATTGCGACGTTTCACTAGGAGACATAGAATAGATAGCTAGGAGTAAGTTCGGTAGCCGCTTTTCGAGATAACAATTAATAACTAAGTAACCCCCTTAATGGACGCTAGGAGCTTACGTATTAACGAGGAATAAGATTCGCTCTTAATCCTCCTCGTCTTAGGTGTCGCATATTACCTATTTTCCCTAGCTACCTAACACTAGGGCACAGAATTTCTATCTTAACTAGTAAGCTTTAGTTTTTAGAGTTAAGCTTATCTAGGTTAAGCTATATATCTATGCATCTACAAATTATTCCATTCGATAGTGTTTAGACTAATAAAGCCTCCTAAATAGTATGCTTCTTAAGCGATTTAACTAATAGTAATGTCTTAGAAGCGGTCGCTAAGGATATAAGGCGGAATCCGAGACCTAGGTATACGGCGATAAGACAATATACTAAGACTACAATTATACTAGTAAATGAAGATTATTAGTTTATAGCTATCTTAAGCTAGTAATAATTAAGAGGAAGAAAAGGACTTATATAGATTCGAGTATAATAAGAAGAGGCTTATCCTATAATGCCTTACTATCGTAAGAGTAGCCTTTACTAAGCTCGTAGATACGATAGGAATAGCGTACGAGGATTAATGCTATAGCTATAGCGAGACCGGCGCAAAAGATCTTAAAAGAGCCTAGAAGTGACAACTTTAACTATACGGAGCGACTATAGATAGTATAGTTAATAACGATAATAATAAAGATAAAGAGAGTAATAACTTAGATGCTAAGACTAGCGAGCGCGATGTTAACGCCTATATTGCTTAAACTCGAAGACGATAAGGAGATGCTACTACCTACCGCCTATAGGATAAGAGAAATTATGTTATACGAGATAAAGGTCTAAACATACTATTTAGGATTAAAACGTAAGCGGTCTAGTACGATGGTCGTAATACTAATAATAATGATTAGCTTAGGAGAATTCTCCTTTAATTACGCATAATTAGAGAGCGCACTTATATCTAAGAAAGTAACATATATATAGTAGTAGCAAAGAAGACCAGTCTAATCGTAATAAGCATAATCTACATAAGGAAGCCTATATTGTTCTAAGGGTTCTACTAGTACATTATACGTCCTACGTAGCTAAGAATCTCGTCTAAGCATCTAAGTACTATATAGCCTATAAACTACTAAGACTTATAACGTAGACTAAGAAAAACTTAGATATATATGTAGATCGCGTATAGGACAATTAGGACGCTACTAGCTATAATAGAAGGTCTATAGCTATAGATGCTAAGGTCTACTAGGTATGCTACGATAGTGTAGTTAGCGCTATTGCCTTCGGCGAGATAGAGAGTACTATTAGGGTATATCTAGGCAATCTCGCTATCGATGTAAGACATAGACATAATGTCTAAGAGAATAATTAAAAGGTTATTACGCTTTAGAAAGTTTCGACGTGTCTAAGGAGGTAAAACGCGAGATAAAGAGTAAGATAAAGATCTATAGTAAGTGAATTTTCTCCTTAAGATAGTAAGGTAGAGATATGTTAAACGATAGAGAACCTCGATAATGCTTTGTCGTAGACGTTAAATACTAAAGCTAATAATCGACTCTAGACATGTTAGACCCTAACCATGTTTTAGAATTATAATCTTTCCTCGAGTACTAGTTAGTTATAGTTCCTAGGCACCGACGGAGGAACGCGCGGTCTATATTAGATTAGAGAGACTCTAACATAATAATTATATATATAGATGTCGTAGTAGAGTAGAGCGTAGAGTCTAACTACATTCGACGTATAGAGGATCGAAAGCTAACCTACGCACGTAGACTAGCCTAATGCGGACGTAACTTGCGCTAGCACATATAGGTAATAGTAATATCTACATTTAAAGCTCTAAGCATAGAACTATCGTATTCCTTATGTTAGCCGCGAGAACTAGTGTAGTCGATTAGATATAACCTTAATCGAGGATATGCTCTTCTTCGAGTTGTTAATATGCTATTAGAGACTAATCTTCGGCCATGAATCTTATAGTTATTAAGTGTAATGTCTACGAGATCTACTACTAGTAATGTTAGGGTTATATAGAACAACGGGTATAGGAAGAAAACTTTAATTACTCGAGAAACATAA